TGTCATATTCGACCCCTTTCACAGTATTCATCTAGCCTTTCCTCTGCCTTTTGTGCCTGTCTGTCTGCTACATCTGTGAATCGCTCTTCTTTTCCCCTGTCGAATTCTTCTCACTTTAATGTTCCCCCCTTCTGTGAAGCCCGAAGTCAACTAAAGGGCTAATGATAACTATCAAAATGCCTGCCATTTGAAATAAATAAAATAAATATTCTGTTCATTTACTTGCCCGTCAGTGTGTTTGATTAGTGAAAGCGTGGAAGAGATATATTTAATTCACATTCATTTAAATTATGGTATACATAGTTTAGCCCATCCGATTAATGTCCTTTTATGGTTGATAGAGAGAATGTCATGCGTGAGTTAAAGCGATATTTTACTCGAGAAATTGCCAACTTTCTATCATACCATGTACCATCTTTAAACAATGGAATAGGAGGTTTTGCTTACCGCATGGGAGTCAGTAGGTTTCGTGCCTGCACCTTAAGGCTACTTGACTACTTACCAGGTCAATGTTGTGGTTATTTATCTTGATGTACTCAGTCTGATGACGTTATACTGACTGTGTAAGGTTGTATATCAACACTTAGTAAATGATGATACAAACTGAGTCGGTTGCCTTCTCTCCTAGGTGCACATGTACCTAATACGAAGACAAGTGTGATCCTTTTTTTCATCATTTCTTTGATTAAAGTGGTAATTAATTAGCTTTTTGCATTTTTTGTTTGAGTTACTAAAATGTCTTTTTGCGGCATATGGCAATAAATTGGTCTATTTACAGGTACTATATGGTTATACTAGGTTAGCCATATGAGATTGTGTCGCTTTTATTTAAGGTGAATGCGCTAATTACCGCCACATTCTTTTGCATTTTTGTCGCGATTCAGGTCTTTTGTTCTTAGCAAAAAAATCCGTTAGTGCACGAACAAATGGCGGAATGCATTCAGAAAGTGGCAGTTGCTGCGATTGTAAGTGGAATGAGAAAAGCGAAGAACTTGCTCTCTTTATTTCATTTCTGCTTGACTGATCCTGCTTCTTTCCGTATATTGAGTAATAAATGACATTTTTTGACACATGTGGGGGTGGGGTATGTGTGTGTGTGTGTGTGTGTGTGTGTGTGTATAAAATTGGTTTTGTAATAGCAAAATGACAAACTTTTCGAGATTGTTCTATTCTCATAAAGAAGCTCCGTTGTATATATGCATTTCAAACCAAGTAAATTCGCATTCTATCACTTGGGCAATTGTTTTTAGTACAAACTCGACAAGATTGAAATTTCTTTTTTTTAAACAAAAATTACCTGTCTCCTCAGCACACATCACTGTTGTTGAAGTGGGTAAAATATTAAGCATCCTTTTCAGTCCTCCTTCGAAAAGAGAATAAAAGTCCAGTAGTTTGCACAGTTTTGTTTCTTTTTTCCTCGATTAAATCGCTTTTCGCCTCTGTTTTTTGGCTGCTCCACATCTTACTTCCTTTCTTTCATTCTCAGGTAGTCTCAAAATCTTCCACTTGACACTTTTACTAGAAGCGCATTCATTTAGTACTATTAGCAATTGGTTACCCAGCGGATTGGTCTACGCCGGCATAATCCCTTAATCAGAGGTTGGCGTGGAGCGGGGGGGGGGGCTGTTAAGGTTAAACCCACCAGAGATTTTGTGCCTTTTCGGACTACTTAAAGTGCAATTTTGCCTTTTTAGCCTTAAATTTTTCACGGGAATTAACCTATTTTTGGTGCAAGTTGGGAAACATGATTGTTTACTCATAACATTCAAAATAACATATTGCGGGAATGACCTTTTGAAAAAAAACACGCATTGTGCTATCACTCTGCTAGACCAGAATTAGCCTCTACGGTAGACACACATCAATGTCATTGAAGGTGCACTAGTGTGCTTGGGTCTCTGGCAGTTGTGTGTGTGTGTGCGTGCGTGCGTTTCAATTGAATTTTGCATTAAAGCAATTGCCACCTCAATATTCGCAAATTTGGGCTGTGCGATAGACTTACCTCCACGTGGTGCACCCTGGGCAATGTATACTCATACGGCAAAAAAGTCTATTAGCTGACAGTTGCCTTCTCGCTTCAAACAACCATCACCCCCACTGTATGTCATTTTCGACCCCTATCACAGTATTCATCTTACCCTTTCTGAGCCTTTGTGTCTGTTTCTTTTGCATCTTTGAAACACCCTTCTATTCACCCTCCTGAATTCTTCTCACTTTGATGTTCCTTCCCCCCCCCCCTGTGAAGCCTGAAGTCAACTAAAGGGCTAATGATAAATATCAAAACGCCTGCCATTTGTTATAAATAGATATTCGCAAATTTCATTATTAAAGCACGCAGCCACTCTTAAAATCTTCATTCTTCTTGTCTGATTTTCAATGCACTTGAGGAGATACTCTTTTGTTTTGCCATAATATTGGCCAATCTCCCTGTCGCTCAACTCACATCAGAGTGTACCCTTCGACATTTTCTTTCTCCAAAGTTGCATTTTTATACAGTCCCGACGTCACCCACCCCCACCCCCTCTTTATAATTGGCATTGTAAGCAGGCTCACATAGTAGGCACTTTCTCTTCTGCTGATGATTTGGACATCTTTTAGCAAGTCAATCAGAAGTCTTTTCCTTGTTGGGGGGGGGGGATGTTTTGTAGTTTCTGTTTTTTCACCCTGATGGATGCAATAACTTTAAAATTTTGCCAAAAATCTTGTTTGTGTTTGTAAGTGTGCACTTGAGGGGAGTGTGAAAGTGTTTGCCGGGGTAAATATTTTTGTGATTGAAACTAAGTTTACAAAAAAACAGGAGAGTTGCTCAGACCAGTTTTTGCCACTTTTTTCACTTACCTGAACTCCAGCTCCCTCCCAGTTAACATCGCCCTACACTTTGCAGACCGCCTTCTTTGCTAGTGTTTGAGATGCTCAACAAGTAAGCTTATTTGGTTTGTGATATGAACTAAAATGCCAAAATTCTCATCCTATTCATCAATTTATCGATGCGCTTCAAGTGCAATTGAATAATTAACCATAGACACGGGCTTTTCCGCGATTAGTATCTACTATTTACCCGAGGTTCTGATTCAATTATGTTTTCTTTTTAATACGCCATTATGAACATTTGTTTTTTGATTTTCCTGCATCATTAAAATATCTTTTTTGCCAGATTGATAATGAATTTTAGTAATGGCTGTAAGTAGCCGCCTTGTGGGATTCAATTCCTGATGAATGAATTGCGCCGTACAAGCTCTACCTGCAACTCCATTCTCTCTGCTTTTTTGGGTTTCGACATATTTATTCTCATAGCAATACAATGAGCTTTATTCCTCATTAATTGTGTTGAACAACTTGTCTACTTGGGGGGAAAAACTTTCTCGATCGGCTTCCTCCCCCATGTCTGCACACAAACTGAACTCAAAAATATTGTCGGTTTTTCAATATATATATAGACTAAACATTAAAACAGATGGTGTCGACTTTTGTTTAAAGTCCAAAAGTGATTCGCCTCCCCCCTTCCTTTTTAATATGGTGCTACACTGAAGTAAAGTTGAATTCTTTTCTCCCGAGAAATCTTGTTCCTAGTTGAAGTTTCTAGCTGTTATCTTCAGCTAATGAAATCTCTTATGTATTAGATTTATAAATGAGGGAATTCGCTCCTGTAACTGTGCTTAAATCTGCTCACCTACTTTCGTTCCCCTAGGTTGTTTGAATATGTATTCAATTTGCTACTTGCATTTCTTATATTCGCCAAATTGGATGTGCTTGAGAGATCAATTCATCTGGAGGCAAATACACCTACCATAAGCAATTGCTCCTTTCTTAACAATGATTTTCGGGAAACTTAATGATCTATTTTTTGCCTTTCAGGACAAGGACAATATTTACCTCTGTATGGAGTATATGCCGGGTGGAGATTTATACTACTGGCTTGAATACTACGATACATTCACTGAGGAGCAGGCTCGATTCTACCTGGCAGAGACAGTTCTAGCCCTTCAAGCACTTCACGAACTCGGTTACATTCATCGTGACCTCAAACCAGACAATATGCTCCTTGACGCCCAAGGTCACCTAAAATTAGCCGATTTCGGTTCTTGCGTGCGTCTCGACTCTCAAGGTCGATATTTCTGCACATCTCCTATTGGTACTCCAGATTATATCAGTCCTGAAATGCTCAATTGTCAGTCTAAAGCAGGTTATATCGGGCCTGCGTGTGATTGGTGGGCTCTAGGGGTCATTGCATTTGAAATGCTCTTTGGAGAAACTGCCTTTTACGGACAATCGCTGGTGGAGACGTACTCGCGAATTCTTGGCTATGAAAAGTCCCTCAAAATCCCAACTGACACTGAAATTTCACCAATTTTCGAATCCCTCATTCGAGACTTCCTTCGAGGACCCAGTGATCGATTAGGTGCAAAATGTGGCGCTGAGGAAGTGAAAAAACACCCTTTTTTCCAAAGTATCGATTGGCCTAATTTAAGATCCACCACTCCTCCAATTCAACCTGTGGTAACATCAGATGTAGATACGTCAAATATTAACTTTGATGAATCAGAACTCCTCGGTGCGGATTCAAAATTTAGAGGAGATTCTTCGAATTCCTCAAGTGGATCACCGGCTAATCTTCCCCGTTCTGGTGGCGCTTTTGCCACCAAGAAGAACATGGGTTCACCAGCTTACTTTACTGGAGATAATTTGGCATTTGCTGGATTCACTTTTAATCGAGATGATAGACGCAATAGTGAGTCGATGGCGAAAACACCGCTAATTACAAATGGTGATGCTCATACTGCGGAAATCGAGAGCGCTTTAGCTGAATCTAGGGCTAAGTTGAGTGCGGCTGAGAAACAGGCCGCAGTGGATAAGATCGCAATGAACGAGGCCCAAAGACGTTTGGAGGATATGAAGGCAGAGCTGGCCTCTGCAAAAATGGAATTAGAACGACTTGGCGATGAGAACAAGACTCAAGTTACTTGTCTTCAATCTGAACGCGATACGCTGAGTGATCGTGTCAAAAAACTGCAGCTTGAGCTAATTACTACTGCTGAGGAGTTGGAGAATGAGAGAAAGGCTCTAGCTAATGCGAAAGAGGAATTAGTTGCTGCCAAATCCGACCCTCCTCCTGCTATTGTAGTAAATGATGCAAGACAGAGAAATTCGGTCAACGAAAACCTTTCATTGGCAGTTGACTTGGAAGTAGCTCGACAACAAGCTTGCAGAGCTGAGGCTGAACTAGTTTCCTCTCGTAGACTGCATGCTGAGGAGATGGGCGAACTGTCTGACCAACTCCAAGCTGAGAAAACCTTCTCTCAACTCTACAAGTCTAAATTGTCTGAAGCAGAGGCGGAATTGGAATCTTTACGTGCATCTTTCGCTTCCACTCATGCTATCTGCAAAGAGTTAAAGGAGCGTAACTTTGGTCTTGAGTCAGAACTAGCTGTTAGCAAAGTGGATTTAGAGGGACTTAAGAGGTCTTATGAAACCGATCTAAATGAATCAAATGTACAGGTTACTCGACTAAAAGACCGAGTGAGCGCCCAAGCTACCGAGATTCTAACAATGACAGAGCAACGTCAAGATTTGTTGCGCCATTGCAAGACCCTTGAGGAGAGCGTATCCACCCTAACAGACCAACTTCAAGTCTTGAGAAAAGAGAACAAAATTCAGAAGTTAAAGATTGATCAGACTGTTGCCAAGCTGTTTGAAGTTGCTTCCGTTACACCAGCTATAGGTGGAAAAGCAAAGAAGAGTTCCGAAGCTCTCAAGGTCTCCGCTTTGGAGAAACAACTGCGTAATGCTGAACACAGACATCAGAAGGAGATTGCGGATCTCCAGTCCACGCTTAATCGTCTCAAGACTGATAATGAGGAAAAGGCAAAGGCTATGGCTGAACTAACCAATCATAATCGACATTTGGAACAGGAATTGGAGAAAGTGAATGTTCAAGTGAGTACTCTCTATGAATGCTACGGTACGAAGTCTGCCGTTGGAGGAGAAGGGAAGTTATCAAGCAGTTCTTCTCTGGGGAGAATAGCTAAGGAGCCCACATCTCCACGACTTCGTTCTGAAATTAGTCATTCCCTTGAGAACCTCTCGAGTATTCCCGAGTACATTGGAAGAGGACAGCCATCAGCGTCCCCTTATATTGAGGGTGTGTGTGATTTCCCTGAGAAGATACGAGGCAAGAAAAAATTGGCTTGGACACCCAGATTCGCTGTTATTTGCCCCTTCTCTGTGTCCTTCTATTCATCTAAAGTTCAACGCGACCAAATTGGTTCTGTTCCTTGCGAAGAAATTCCTATCCAGACGGTGGGTTTCACTCCTTTCCATTTTTTTTATAAGAGTAGATTTGCGAACAAAGTCAAATGTAAGGGACCGGATTTCATTTATTCTTTTTCTTAGTTCAGCTACGCTTGAAGAATGGTTGCATATTAGTTAATTATGCGCTTAAGTAATCTAAAGAGAGATTCTTGAAATGTACTCATTTCGGTTATCTATTGTGTTTCAAGATGAGTAAATTCACCAGTAATCCTATGACTACTACAGATTTGCTGATTTCATTCTATTTTGATAGATAGATAGATGTGAATATATATATATATATATATGAGCATTGGGGTGTCATTTTTACTGGTGGTAATTTAATCAAGTTGATTCTGGGATCGTGTGGCCTTTGGAGTTTGGTGCAAGTGTTGCGTGTGTCTACAGTACTTCTATTCTGCCAACAGTCGCTTGCATTGGGTGGGTGAAGGATTCACTCTTTACATACGCCTCCAAAGTACATGCTGTTTCGATAGTCCTCGTGCGGTTTCGCGAGGCTTCTTTAAAATTACATCCGAGTCCTACTAATGCACCTCCTGCATGCCAATTGCTATTGCGGGGCATCCACTGCTCTGTCGACTCAGCCTATTAACATGCACTTCTGATCTCTGTTTTTCACCCTCAGGTATTATCAATAATCTCCACTGGTATTATAATTTTCCTCCGAGCTCGGCTTTATAAGCTCGAGAAAGCGAAATAGGCTTCGTTGATTTTCTCTAACACGGTGGACTCATGCCATCAAATGTTTGTGTTCTGTTGCCTTTTACAATTTTAAGATACTGTTTACATATGCAGAACCTCAATAGTACAGCGTCAGCATAGTGTTTATATCCGAATTGCAAGGTCCAATTATGGCGGTTATGCAAAGCTTGCGGAAATACCAGATTTTAGCATCAATTCTAGCTTTTGATGACGATGTTTACTGTTTGCATACTAGAGGAAGCTTATGTATTCTAGGTTTGATAGTAGGAATTGCTACTAAAATATCTTTCTACCTATTTTATTTAAGTAGTGTTTATAATAGTCAACCTTTTTTAGATATTTTCGGTTCGTCCGGGGACAGTGTTAGACCTCACATATGCTACAGAAGAAGATGCATCCCGGCTAATATGTATAATTTCTGACGTGATAGGTCAAGATTCTGGAATGAACGATGCCGATAAAATGAGCATCATGAGCGGAACTTTTGGTCCGGGTGGCAGTTGTAGCAACCACATTTCTTGGCAAGGTCACTCATTTCAGCCAATGACCTTCCGAATCACAAATACCATTTGCGAGGTATGTCGACGCCCTTGTTCCGATCTGCGCTCGCCACCTCCAGCTCTAGAATGTATTCGTTGTCGAATGCGTATCCATCGTAACCACGTGGAGAACCATGAGAAGTTTGTTGTTTGTCCAAACACTGTGCGTCAGTGGATTATTCGTGCTCCCACTCTGGCTGATCGAAACGCCTGGATTTCTTGCATTAATCAGCTAAAGAAAGACGCGTTTGCCTTTTGTTCTCCGGATAGTGGTCTTACGCATTCGCCATCAGGGTCACTTTCACGAACTGCCGGATCCGCCACTCCGGCAACGCCCCTTTCTGGTGCCAACACAGTGCGCTACAGGAGCATGAGGAATTTTGGGGGCTTCAGTTTAAAAGATATTGCCTCGCGGCGTTCAGTCGCAGTCACGTTTCCGCGACATAACAGTAGTTCCGGTGTAACTGGTAGTTCAACTCCAGGAGTGGTGCATCCCCACCAGCAACCTACTCTTCCGAATATTGATGGCCAGCATGATTTGTAATTCCTGTATTAGCACTTTGATACCCCCATTTTGCACACGCATCTGAATCCAAAGCCCGAATCCCCTCTTAAACGATGACTTGTCTTTCATTCCCTCCTCCCGATGTGTAGAAATTGCCTGGAAGGTTGCAGAAAAGTAAGGAAGCAGACGAGAGACCCTAGACATTATTTTCACAATTGCTGTTCGGAAAAACAGCACACAACAAGCCCTGCCCTTTTCCTATCCTGCGCCCTAAAATTCGTGTTCTTCTATTATTATTTGACGCTCAGATTATATAATATAAGGTATACTGCCTCCTTACATGAATCGTCTTGTTAATAAGAGGGTGGAAAGATAAAGTTAAGGTGATATTTATTATGACAAAACAGACTTATACAACAGATTTGAGCTGACTAATAATAGCCTCCAGTTGCGCTTTATCGAAGATTGTGATACCGTCCTTGGTTATGGCGGCCATCTAGGAGGGAAATCAAATAGATGGTAAACAGATTTGAAAGACAAAAAAGAGGGCGAGCATGCACTTACCTCAACATTAGTAGAATCTAGCTTCTCCTCCATAACTTGTTTGAGAATAGTGAGAGCTTGAACAGAGGCTTCTTCAAGACTGAGGTCTTTGTTGAAAACCTCTTGAAGGGCTTGTTGGGCTCCTTCTGAACCAGAGCCGATAGCTTTGGCTTCGTATTGGATATAGGTTCCACTTGGGTCCATGTGGAATCTATAAGGATAACATAAAGATAGTGAAACCAAGAAATATAAATGCCTTCAGAACTTTTCTTTGTTTAATTAAGATACGAAGAGTATTAGAATACTAACCGAAAGCTAGGAATCAAAGTACCAAAGAAGAATCAGATAGGCCTACTTAATCGATGTCAACGTAGATTTACGCTCACATTTTATTAAAAAAGGGGAAACACCTACGAGGCTAAGATGTCCACGGACCAGGCGGTATAAAAAGAAATAATAGTTTAACAATTTGGGATACATCACTAATAGTAACAGAACAAATTAATTTTCGGAAAGAAACCAAAATCAAATAATAGATTTTTCATGGTACATAAATTTTCCCTTTTGAAGACTTATTTACTATTCTTCATTATTTTACTATACGAGGTCAATACTCAATTAGGACCAGTTTGTAAAGTGAATGACGAACAATGTCTGTAAATTCTAGTTAATAGGAGGGATGACAAAAAGTAGACCTATCCTGTAAATAAGCTTTAAATTTAAAAAGCCTACTCGAGTTCAAAATTTTGAGTCAATTCATATACTGTGATAGAATAAAAAGTGTCTAGTCAAATACAAAAGCGTTCGATAAAGGCCAACTGTAGAAAGTTAAAACTTTATTTGGAGGGAAAAATTAACAAGTGCCGAATATGAACAGGAAAATGAGAAGAAATGGTATGAAACTGCCTATTTTGGGAAAGAATTAAAACCAAGTTTCTCAGTTAGGCAAGCTCATATAAAGACATAGGATCTTGATAGGTAACGCGGAGCAGAAATGACTGATGCAAGAAGCAATGCAACAGGCGATCAATGACCGCCGGATGCAATTCATGAATTTGTTAGTCCGTAAAAAACAAGACTCCAAAATATAAGAACACAATTTAGATTTTCTAAAAAATGAGAACTACAAAAGGAAAAAAAGCTACGAAGCCAATAAAGTCCAAAGTGATATAGGAATAAATAGTAGATTTAGAGAGTGGAATATGATAACAATTAAGGTAACTTACAGTTGAGGGCCATTTTCGTCATACCCAGCAAACAGAAGAGCAACACCGAAAGGACGACTCATGGCTGCTTCATCTGCATCATCATCGCCAAAAGCAAGAGCCAACTTGCTGACAGCTTGAGTTACATCTTCTGTTGTCATCTCACAGTTATACACGAACCAATGATGAGCAGTCTCGATACGAGCTCGATCAATGAGAGTTCGTGCATCAGCAATGAGACCGCTGACAGCACAAGCTGTACGGAAATGTAACATTAAACACAGTGCGTTAGAACAAAATGCGCAAAGTAAAGCACAGACAATAAAATTGAAAAAACCTACCAATACTATCTGAAACTTTAAAAATCTTCTCAACACTATTAGGTACAATAAGGGGAGAATTAATTCGCTTCTCGACAGCAAGGATGACACCGTCTTTGGCTTTTATTCCAACACCAGTTGAACCCAGCTAATATGATAAGCATATAAGTTTTAGATTACCTTAGTGGCTTCTATTGCGTACTCTACTTGGAAAAGTCTTCCATCTGGGGAAAATGTATTAACGCCTCTATCGTATTCAGTTTTTGTCAGAAACATTACTGGAACGATGATCTAGCAGCAATTTGAGACGCCCGCTATTACTTTTATAGAAAAACAAGTACCCATTTGAAAGCATAATTTAAATTCATTTAAATAATCAACCTACATTTAAAACCAGACAATTTAATTATATTTAACTCTTTAATACCCTGTTTTTTGATTTAAATGGAAAGTACAAAATTTTATCCAATTTAGTATTATTAAGTTCATATATTATTTCATGCTACAATTAACTACTGTTGCCTAATATGTTCAATTGAACAAGTGACGTACAGTATTAACTGTCGCATTTTCACAAATCTCCTTTTAATATTGCCAAACAAGTAACATGCACGTGTTCATTTAATTTTTTCAACAATGTCGGCTCAATAAGATATTCGCCATAAAGGCCCTGATTGCCTTAAATTTCTTATGCGTTAAAGCATACTTACATTTGAGGAAACCGTCTAATATGGTGTACTAACTTATTAACAAATCTTGATTGTTCCTTGCTGATTTTGCGATATCGGAACTGTGAAATCACTAAAATCAATAAAAACTATAATCGTGATCTAGAGGAGTATTTCCATGTTTGTGATGTTAATTCTCGTGTCGTTGTACTTTCTAAAATATTGAAATTTTGACAACAAGACTCGCTGATTGCTACACTAGTAAATCCTGGCTGACTCAGAAATCTCTGTGGCAGATTCTCCTACATCTAACTAGACTCCTAGAACTAGCTAAGCTATAGCCCAGCTATAGAGTAAACAGGCGTATAGCATGGAACACGTTTATTCAGTAGGGTTATTATGAGTAAGTCTTAGTCATGATCAGCTTGGCGGATTAGGTTAAACAGAGGCACCTGATTGTCCACTGTTTCTACGGTCACTGCACACAGAGTTGTACGGCGCACCGCCTAATCCTGTCGTGCAGGCATGCAATGACGCGTTAAGAGATCACGTGTCTCGCACAAGCTCCTTTTACTTGTAATTGAAATTAATTTATACTTTTTCCCATAAACGATCAAAAGCAAGTGTAATACCATATTCTAATTTTATTATTGATATTTAAAGATTGTTGACAAATACTTTAATCGGCAGTTGACTGTCGAAGAAATTTTCGCGGCTTTTGATTAGTGGATCCAAAATAAGATGCATTAGTCAATAGTGGACAATCAATTCTTCCAATGGAATAATCATAGTACAATGTAATCTCAGTTGGTGCACATTTTGGACCACTAACAAAATTAAATTCGGATAATTTTTGATTGCATTTGATTAAAGATTCCTCGTACTTACTGGGTTCGGTGAATACCATAATAGCTTTAGTTGCTAACCTAGGTATTTTAACCCGAATTAATTCGCGCAACATTAAGCCAGTAAAATCTTGAGTAATAAGTGCTTCAAAGGTAGTGGGCATATCCAGAGGCTCGTAAGATGGAATTTTGAAAGTGGCCAAAAAATAATTATTTAACTTTTTAAAATCAAAATCATTTGGGTTATCGGCATTAACGTATTTGTTTGCAAGTGCTTTCCATATTCCTTCATAGAGTTTAGAATAATCTGCTCTTCCAGTCTTCTCTGGATCTAACATTCGATAGATAATATGTTCTTCAAGAGCAGAAAAAGGCGTTCGTAGATCACGAAATGCGAGCTTGAATTCCGTTTCAGATATTTCATCTTTTTCGAAAATTGACATCATTCTCAGGTACCGCTTTTCGTTTTTGTTATACCAATCATCTACTCTTTCAATAAAATTCTGAAAATCGGATACTTGTTGCATATAAATTTTCATTTCTTTGTCGTATTCCTTTGCATCTTGCGCAGTATGTTTTTCAAGTCTTCTTAGAATTTTTTCAGACTTTGAAGTCATGTTTATTTTACTGTTAGAAAGACGTTATATCAGGCCATGTGATAGACAATGATTTAAGGGATCATATCTCGTGTTTCTGTGAGTATTGGCAAAATAGAACGTTTAATTTAATCATTTTCGGAATAACGCTGGCATGCATTTTACTTTACTTGTTTGTGTTAATTTACACTGTGAATTAAAGCATGGTCTCTCTCTTGGATATCTAACCGTGTGGAGGCAATATAAATTTTAATTATTAATATTTTATTAATTTTTTGAGTTTTAAACAATAATTAACTGCTCATAAAAATTAATGACGTTAAATTACATACATATTCAGAAGTAAATATTATACCATGTTGAATTTAGAGAGTTTATTTAAATATTCTGATCCAACAATTATAAACAGAACAATTTTTAGAGATAAAGGCAGTGGGAATTTAAATCATAAATTTACTTAATAGATTAAATATATATTAGCATGATTACAATCTCTTGAAAATGAATTTTGCCTCTATCAATTCCATATTCCTTAAATAATTATAGTTTCCATCACTTTGGTTTCCTTCGCATTAGCATCAGCACAGTATCTTTCCAGAATAGCTAAATTAATCTCCATGTTTCATCTAAATTTCATTTGATTGTATGAGAGTGATATTTCTTCTAAACGTCATTTTGTTGAGATTTATATCCAGGAAAGCGTTACCCAACTTTAATTTTTAAAGAAATGGATCAACCGCTTACGGTTTACCAATAAAATATATTAATTCCACTCGGTGTTAAGTCGTCATCGGTTTGCATGCTAGTAAATCCTTGGAGTCGATGCGTTCTGCATTCTAGTCTGCAGCTAGTTTGACTTCTATGATTAATGAGATTTAGTCAGGGTCTTAGTTGCCAAGTCTCCTCTTCAGATCTATGACCGATTTCTGCGACGCTTCAATGTGTCCCGATAAGCCGTCTTTTAAAAAATAATCGACCTATAGGAAAGTCAATTCTAAAGGCCAGTGCCATTCATCAAATTATGCATGCGGATGCCTAATGATATGGATACTCAAGCCCACTTCCGTATTCAAAAATGATTTTTTTTCAATTGTTCCTATCGCGAATCTAATTAAAACTGCAATCAACAGATAAGATTCAACACAATTACCATTTATTCCAACAGGCCTTAAGTTCTCAACTTCTATTAACTTCGTCAAGCATATACTAAAAAAGAAATGACGAAATATCTGTATTTTAAATGAACTACAATTAGACATTAATTTTAAGCTTTTAAACATTCTAATATCAATTTGTGCCATCGGCATATCCAAAATAAATGAAGCATTCGAAACGTTTAAATATGTTAAAGTATAAACGATTGGGTAGATTGTGCATATGGAAAATTTTCAGAATGTTTTTAATTTTTCCTTGATTTAGCATTAATTGCAATGGAAAAGGTGATATATATCGGAGAAAAAATTCCCAACGTGACACGTTCGACACGGCGTCTGAAATGACATTGTCGGAGCTTGGTGACGCAAGTAATAAGTTGGATTTCGAAATTTTGATAACATTTAATATTTGGCACCTTTGCACCTTTGAATAATTGTGGTATGGTGTACTGGAATAGCTTTCAAAATATCATTCGATCAATAGCACGTGGACACGGGTAACATTAAAAACACGCATTGTTTAATAATGCCCTTTGGAGCAGCAAAATAACATGAAGGAAATTAATAAAAATCCCTCAAATAAAAGAGAATTCCGAGGCATACAGACAGCCAGTGCTGTAGAATCCTGGAATGCCGGTCCACGAAGTAGGATAAGCGGAATTACTAATCACGGCGCAACTTGCTACTTAAATACACTACTACAGATTCTTTTCCACACTCCAGATCTGACAAGTAAGGGTTGATTTAGCCGAATTTAAAATAAGTCATTTCCAAACTAACAGCTTTTGCTTTTGACAACTAGATCGGCTATTTCTAATGGCTCAAAATGCAAACGTTTACGAACTCCCTCAAGTATTATTATTATTTCATCTAGGCTTTCAGATTTTACAAGAAATTTTGATTCTCTTTTCAAATCTTTTGAAAGGAGACGGAACTCCAATTTCTGCCAAAGCTCTAACGGAAAGTTTCGGCTGGACTTCAGATGAAGTGCATATCCACCAGGATATTCAGGAATTGAATCGCTTACTGTTTGAAGAATTGGAAGATAATTTAAAAAATACAATTGAAAGAAACCTCATTAATGACCTATACAAGGGATGTTTGAAAACGACAGTAAATAGTTCGATTTCACTATCGGTTTCTTGTTATAGATTCAGTGTCTCAATTGTGGAAAAATTAGCGAAAGAAATGTAGGTGGGTGTAATCAACAAGATTTATTAATTTTGAATTAGGATGAATTCCAAGATGTCAACTTGTCGGTTTCTGATTGCGATTCAATCGAATTAGCCCTTGACAACCATACACAAACGGAAACACTTGCTGGCGATAATCAATACTTCTGCGAAATATGTAAAGGTCGAGTTGATGCAATAAAGGTATTTAGAAATGATTGAAAATGATTTTTTTAAGAAAAGTAAGTTTATCGAACTGCCTCCGATACTAACACTCTCACTGTCTCGATTCTACTTTAATTACGAATCAATGGAGGCTGACAAATTGGATAAAATGTGCAGTTTTCCCCTTCAACTCGACATGACTGCCTACCTGGCAGTCAAACAAGACGAGGTAAGAAAACGTCGGAAGGTGCATTAATCTGTTTGTAAAGTTTATTTATTTATATCAAATGGCAGGCGTCTTGATGGTTATCATTAGCCCTTTAGTTGACTTCAGGCTTCACAGAGGGGAAGTAACATTAAAGTGAAAGAAAGTCGAGAGGGGGGGGGAGGAACAGAAGACTATTTCAAAGATGTAAGAGACAAACACAAAGGTAGAACAA